TTTGAGATGGCGAAAAGTATTTTTAACTTTTAAACATGTAAAATTACTTTGCACATGGACTATTCAAACAAATACTCAATATATTCATGGACAAATCTTTATTTTAATTTTTTAAAAATACTTCACTAAAAAATATGAATTTTTTGTATGTAAAAGACTTGTAATATTACCTGAAAGACTGCCATATTTCGTGAAGATATACCCACTATATTAAGAGTTATAAGTATTTAATTTATAAAGACTTTAAACAAGTACAAAAGGTCACATGACTCGGTCAAATTGACTGACCTCATGTTGAGAGAGATAATTCTAACTCAGTTACTTTTTTTTATACACTTGCCTTTTTGTCGACTCTTGAAGAAAAACATGAATTTCGAGATCAATGTCACCACCTTGGGTGTCTCAATTTCGACAGCCGCTTTATCTCCGGCTTCAGGTGCAGGTGACCTGACGGGAGATTTATCAGGGAGATCAGTGGGGGTTATGGAAGATCACATTACCAAAAGCGATAGATCTTCACGTGCAGAATGTGAGGGAGCAAACAGAGTATGGTGAACTAACAATTCCACTGAGTGAGGAGGTCCTGAACCACGTCTGACAGATGCTGCCAAATAATGGGATCCTGAGGTTGAGAGGAGGAAATGGGTACAGAAGACAAGAGAGCGTGGCAAGAAATGGGATCTTGAATCCTTCTGACAAAACTTGAAGAACCCAAACATCGTTGATGAAAGGGCACCATTGATGGATAAAGTCCACAAGTTGAGCTCTCACTAGACCAGAGCCCACTGGGTAGTCACTAGTACTGTTGCCGGCGTGACGTGCATCATCAAGGAAAATGATGAGCTGTGGTACCTCGAGAAGGGGGGAAACCACCTAAACAGGTGCCACACTTGGCTCTGACTGAGACAAACAGGTTACCAGATGGGAAAGGGTAAACTGTTGTTGGACTGACGCCACCCAAGATTTAAAGACTCCAGGATAATATCAAAGACGAAACTCCATAAAAATGGGGCTATACATAAATCACAGAGATATGGTGTAGGTAAACAGGCCCTTGATAAGACAGCATCCCAGCCCAGAATGTCCCAACAATAGAGAAACCATGTATGTAAAGCTAGAACCAAAAATGACAAGCAAACCAATGCAGAGGTAAGGAAGGAGAGGATGTCCACAGAAAACCCCTCAGGAATTCTGTGAAGAGCATTAGACAGAAGATGAATAGTGGAAAGATACCACAAAAGAGTCATGAGGGTAAGACGTAGGTGGGAAAATTGGGCAGGGGTTAAACTGATAGGAGATTTGGGGCCCAACCCTCCAAACAGGTAAAACTGAACCCAACAGTTGCTGGTCAAGATAAGGACAGTCTGCATGATGATAAGTGAAGGCAGACTGGCATGCTAATGCTGTCATTTACCTGGTAGGTAAATTGTAGGACCAAATAGGTTGGGAAGAAAGTTCATGCAGTAAGGAAGGACGTGGGTCATAAGAAATAAGGGCGAGGAACAAAACATTACATACCTGAGAGATAAAGTCTGAAAAACCGTGGAAGGCCAAACTGAATCCTCAGGAAAGGTATGGGAAGGCACAGAAAATTCAGGAGGTAGAAACAGCCGATCGAAGTTCTTGTCAGCTTGAACATATTCACGAGGAAGTGAGACAATGTCAAGAGATAGAGGTTGACTTATGTAGCATTCAATCTCCCTGCATTGACATGTAAGGACTGATCATTGACAGATCAACAACCCGAAGACTCCTGGTGATCGACCCATGTACCCCAGCCCTGAAGGGATGCTTCCGTAAATAAATGTAAATCTGGATGAGGAGGAGGAAGTGGGACACCAGCCGATGTATGAGGCTTGTCCAACCACCAAAGCAGATTGTTTACTAGGGAAGGAGGAAGTGTAAAAGGAGTAACCAAGGGATTCCTATCAAGGTTCCATTGATTGTGCAGAGTCCACTGAAGGAAACACATATACGCTAAGCCTATTAACATCCTGTTTTTTTTATTGAAAAATCATAAACTAAAAAAATTGACCTGTTAAGTAGAAAATCAGTTCTCTGCCATTATGATGCCAAGGATTTATAACTTGTAAATATATCTTTTCAACATCTTTTTATTAAACGATTTTATATGAACTGTATATTTTCAGTAGCATACAGAAACTGCTTGTCATAGGCACAAGCTTATTTTTTATTATTTAAAATCTCTACCATAGATATTATATTTTATTAGCTAGGATAAAAGATACATTAACATGTCTACCTGAAATGTTGCACAAAATAAAACTAAACAAATTTAGTTTTAGACATGTTAAATTAGCCTTTATTATCTTTTATCCAAGTTTTTCTTACAGTCACTCAAACATTTTATTTTACACAATTCTTTCTTTTCAGTGAGGTTTTATGGAATAAATTTATAGCAGAATTATTTACTAGGATATTTTTAACTGTATAATACTAATACACCCTCAAAAATTAAGGTGTTCTTTGTTTACGTTAAAAGCTTTTATGTAGATTTGTAAATGAGTATCTGAGCTTGTTGTTGGAACCATTATGTAATACACCTCGTCTTTAAATCAAACAATATTTAATTAAAATAAATGACAGCAACAAATAAAATGCTTTGATTTAGAAAGTTTTTGATGATAATATACACAATAAGTTCAAAAGGAAATTAATAATTTTGTATAATCCCAAACATCATGTTGAAAGAATATTCCACTAAAAAACTGTGCAGTGACAACAAAGTTGATTTATTGTTCTAATTTAACTATTATTAACAATGTTACAAACCTTATGAAAATGAAATTACCACAAGAAAGTTTTACACAAACAACAATTAAGGTTTTGGCATCTTTTTCTAAGAAAACAACCTATTTTGAATGATAAATTATTGAACATAATATTATTTATTATTTTTAAGTGCATGATCTTTACACAGGGAAGTATCATTAGTGACATATACTTTGAGTGATTCGAGTGCTGCCAATAATAAGACATGGAATTGAACTTGCACAAAAATAATGAAGACAAAACAACCAGCAGACAGTACAGACACCAATCTCTCTTTAAATAGATGACTTGGAAAGATAAGCATTGCACAAGCTAAAGACACGAACACATTTTTTTGTCTTGGTACAAAGAAACTGAATATAAAAAAAATGGAGATCAACAAAATGAACACATGTTCAGACAGCTGAGAACTGGCTGCGATCTCACGACATTTAATAGGGACATTTATCACAACGCAAGTAAAAATGAAAGTTTGGATATTTCTTGCTTTAGCAGCCATTTTATCTTACAACTATAAACACTGTAATGTTTCTGAAGAATGCTGGATGGCATATTGGAGAGACTTGTATACTTTGTAAATAACTTACCTGTAGAGCATCATTTGGATGCTGCTACCTTCAATTGAACTTGGCAATAATTTAAACTGGGGGAGGAACGACAACATATGTTTAACATTTCTTATTGTGCTAACTCACTGGTTAGTCGATAATCGTCTATTCTACTCCTGCCGCTCACACTAAACATTCTTTTTTTTTAAGAACAGGCTTTTAATAAAGACTGCTAAGTAAAAAAAAAAGTTCAAATGTAATGAAAATGTTTTTTTTTTGTTGTCCCTTGAATCACTTAGCCTGGGTCCACTTCAGCTACAACTGATATGAAATGCAAACGGCACATACAACATTATGTGAATTGTGTCTAAGCCCAGAACAGACCAAACATCTCTTGGTGACGTGGTGTGGTCTTACGACAGAGCAGCAGCCGGGTTGGGAAAAGATGTGAGATTGGGTGAAGTAATTGGTGATGCTGATACTCCTGCACCAGTGTTTGAGGTAAATCCACCCGAGGCTGAAACAAGAAAATTAACCATTAAGCCTAGAAAGACAAGTATCTTGCTAGATTCAAAATAAGCCAAAAAAAGTAAAATCCTTAAATATGTAGAGAACAGACATATAACAAAATTAATATGCATTTAGCATGCTTGATTCATGACGAACAACTTGTAACATCATAGAATGTACTTCACTGAACTTGTTTCAGACTAGAGATGCTCAACAACAAAAGCTCTTTCACAGTACTTAGTGCTTAATTACACAGACTTCACACTCCATGTTTTCCATGTAACCCAGGATTTAGTGCTTAATTATACAGAGTTCACACACCTTGCTTTCCATGTAACCCAGGATTTAGTGCTTAATTATACAGACTTCACACACCTTGCTTTCCATGTAACCCAGGATTTAGTGCTTAATTATACAGACTTCACACTCCATGTTTTCCATGTAACCCAGGATTTAGTGCTTAATTACACAGACTTCACACACCTTGCTTTCCATGTAACCCAGGATTTAGTGCTTAATTATACAGAGTTCACACACCTTGTTTTCCATGTATGCCAAGATTTAGTGCTTAATTATACAGACTTCACACACCTTGCTTTTCACGTAAGCATTGTCTGTGCTCTTTAAGAAAAACTTTTATTAATAACAGTTTTGTTATTTTTAACACTGCCTTTATTTCTAGTTTATTGTTTGCTGAATTTCACCAAAGGCCATGAAAGCTATAGTTACTAGCCATCTCTACTTTAGAAGTGATAGACTAGAAGGATGGTAGCTAGCCAACACCATCCACTGTCAACTCTTGGACTACTCTAATCAAATAGTGGGACTGACTCTACGGCTGAAACGGCGAGCACGTTTGGTAACAGGATTCAAACCTATGACTCACAAATTGTAGAGTGCCTAACCACCAGACTATGTCACGTTGTTTCTTGTTAAAAACATTTGGACAAATTATATAAGACTGCAAAAACTCAGCTAGGACTCGCCAATGTCAATGCTAAACTACATGAAAAACTCCTACTAAACTCATTATAAGAACTACTTCCATTATTTAACTATAATAAATCTGTTATCAATAAAGAATAAAAATGGTTACTTTCATGCAAAGACAGTAATTATTCTTATAGCATTAGATCAAATTTTTATCAGGTAATAAGTTAAAGACTATTCAGAGTGGATTGTTTGCACTTTAAAATTATTTAGAAACCCTCCCATATATCAGAATACAGATAATGCCAACATTGCAACATGTAACATCAAGAAAATATGTATCGTCACAACATCTGATGCAACTTTTAGTGCATTTAATTTCTCCCTCTTCATCAATATTTAGTTCAAATCTACTTACAAGCATAACTTGTTTATTGTTTTATTATTATTGTGGCCATTCTTACTTCACAAGTTAGTTATGGGCAAAAATGTTCAACTCGTGAAGTGTGTTATTTCTATTGATAGGACAGTGAATCATGCACCTGTCAAAAAATACAAATACAGAGAAAGTAATACAATTTTCGATAGAATCAATAGCATCTAGGCACATGAGTCCTAAAACTAATAAATAATCTAGTACACAACTTTATTAGAATATCTTAACCAGCATCTTCACTACATTCTGGATTTCTTTCCAAGGTTATAATGTTCCTATACTCAGGTACTTCCCTCTTTTCACAAGATTAGCTATTATCATTCATTGCTGCCCTCTATATGTGAACTTTTTCTTTACATATGCCACGCCACAAGCCTTCCTCTCCGCCTTATTGAAATCAAGTGTCTCTCATGTGAATCATCATGCGTCACCTCTCTGCCAATAGGAGCATAGTATACTCATGTGATGTATGTGACTCCCTCTATGCACCTCTGCCAAACTATCACTTCGAAATTTGGCAGAAGAAGAAAGTATTGAAAGAATGTGGGGAGCATGGGTGGGAAGCATTAGCAGAGAGAAGTACCTATTGAAAATACATTTTCAGTATAGGAAAATTATCATTTCCGATACAGTACTTCCCTCTTATCACAAGATTAGTTGGAATTCCACATTGATTAGGAGGGAAGAACAGACATACCCCCCAAAAGCATCCAAAAGATACCTCTGTAGATGCGAGAGCCAGCTCAGAAGATATGAAAAGGGGAACCACACCATTTCTGGTCATGTATCCTCTTTGCCCATCTGTAAAGAGTGGAGAAAAAAGGATGGAAAAAGGAGAGAAGCACATCCAAGTTGGAGAGAATTGAGGGAATAAATCCTTAAATAAATATACGTAAGTCAATCCCACCAAGCAGAAAAGTGGGTAAAAAAGAATGAACCCCATGGTATAGAGTGGCTAGGGCACGACGAACCATACTCAGTAAGTCAACTACATACAAAACCCATGCCACTGGGAGCCTACATCCACGCGGGGGTAGGATGAGGATCATACCGTCTTCACTTCAAGCCCCAGAGACTAGAAAGAATCTAAAACCATTCCAACCCCAGGGCAAGATACGTTATTTGAGGAATATCTCGATCCAAGAACCCAACATCCGGTATCAAAAGGATGTCTATGGAAACAAAATCTACTCCCCAACAGTGAAACTGACTAGAACCATCCAATAAGCAATAAAATCCTTGGACAAAGGTACACAGGGGAAGCACAATCAAGGGAGGAAGATAGACAACCTTGAACATGCGTGCAGACTATGTTGATTGGCTCACTCTAAGTCGAAAACCCAAAGACCAAAAGAGGGGTAATTTGTGATTCAGGGTGGTGGTAAATGCATCGATGTGAGGAAAAACTCAACGACTGCAAAGCCACCACAAAACGATGGGATCGAGGGAACACTTCATCAGATAAATCTTTTCGGGGTGGGAGAGACTATCCACTACAAGATTGAAACCACCCGGAACATGACACACGATTAAATGAATGTGGTGTGTGTGGGCTCAACAGAGGAGATCCAATGTACAAAAACAGAGGTATCTCGATCAGATGCCACCTTGGTTGATTGATATATGCTACCACTGTTGACCTGTCGAAATGAATCATCACCAGACAATGTCAGGTGAGAGGTAGGAAATGATCCAAAGCCAAATGGACAGCTAGAAGCTCGAGGAATGGGTATATAAATGGTTGGTATGGTTTATCTTATGGGTATATAAATGGTCAGTATGGTTTATCTTCTGGGTATATAAATGGTCAGTATGATTTATCTTATGATGTGGTTACTATTAATAATCTTGGAAGGAACGTTAACAGTTAATGTGAAAGAAGGTACAAGAGGAAGAAGTAAGATAAACCATACTGACCATTTATATACCCATAAGATAAACCATACTGACCATTTATATACTCATAAGATAAACCATACTGACAATTTCTATACCCATAAGATAAACCATACTGACCATTTATATACCCATAAGATAAACCATACTGACAATTTCTATACCCATAAGATAAACCATACTGACCATTTATATACCCATAAGATAAACCATACTGACCATTTACATACCCATAAGATAAACCATACTGACCATTTATATACTCATAAGATAAACCATACTGACCATTTATATACCCATAAGATAAACCATACTGACCATTTCTATACCCATAAGAGAAACCATACTGACC